TGGACAGAATCATCCCATCATGCCAGTAAGCAAGGTCTACCACACTCACCACCATATCAATAACTTTGGTAAGAAATTAATCTACTACAGCCTTCTTTTAATTTGTAATATGGCAAAAGCACTTTGAAAATGGAAATAACCAATTCAGTCAAACTAGGAACATACCCACAGAAATAAAGAAAGATAGAGAGCAGAGAATCACTGAATACTATCGAGTCTGTGGTTCTTGGGCAACAAGTTGTGTTGCAAACCATAGCCTGGTCTTATAGCTACTGATCAGAGAAATTTCATTCTCCAAATGGAATAAAATTCCAGGAAGAATACGTGAAACAAAACACAGGAGTAAAATGCCTCAAAGGAATTTCTGTCTCATGACAGTTGCTCTGAAGAAAAGATATCCATCTGCACTAAAATGGTACTTGTGTCTTGCATATGCAATTACATATTCATGCCTTCACTAAAAGCAGCAGGGAAGAATAATGTTATTTAGAAAATTTCAAGACAGTCTGTGAAACTCAAAGAATTAGTTTTTGAGAATAGCAAAAATGATCTTCAAGAGACATTGCAAGGTCACTGGAGCTTAGTTATAGCAAATATCCTCTTCATAGCTGTTCAAACATTTGCTTGATTTCTAATAGAGCTATTACTTTTTCTTCTACAGCAGCTTAACATTTTTAATAGCTTTACATGGAACAAACTCTCAGTATGGTAAACCATAGTGTATATATCTATGTAAAATTAATTTTGCCACTGAAAAGTCTCATAATTCTAGCTTTATGAAAGGGAGAGCTGGTAAATAATATGGATCATAGGACTCATCCCTAGTGCATTTTCACCCCTTTGTGTTCTCTATCCCAAGTCATTAAGCTGGAGGAGCAGTCAAAGATCCTTCACAGCAGCTTTCAGAGCCACCAAATCTGCCTCCATTATCTCCACCTAAGACAACCTGGAGTGGCACTCTGATCATTCTTAGCAATCTGAACTCAGGATGAATGCTCTGCCCAGGGCACTTTTGCAAGCCTTCAGAAAACACAGCCAGATTTTCAAAGACCTTTTGGACATAAGTAATTTTCATTCCAAGGCTGAAAACAGGAAAGAAATTTCATCTTCCAAACCATCATCAGAATAATCAAATCAAGGACAAACTACAAGGACATTAATGGTATATTTCTGGTATAATAAGGAACATAATTACATCCATCCACTGTGTGAATGAGATTTAAAAAAAAAAAAAAAACACATCCTCAAAAGCTTGGCTAATAAACAGCCATGCAGTGTTTCTTCCAAGTCCAGTTGAAAAATTCAGACTTAGGGCTGGCACAGCTGAAGAGACACACCTGAACTATGGGGAAGCACAGGCCTTGCAGTACCATGTAGTATAGCTCCTCAGAAAATATGGCAGATATAAGGTGAAAGGTAACAGAAAAGCAAGCCAGCTTTGCTAATCAAGGAACTCGTGTGTTTTGGGGATCAACAAAGTAGTGAGGCAGAACAGTAAGGTTTTTTTCCACACTAGCACTTCCATGACCTCCCTTGGCAGATTATTCCACTGCCTGATGGGACCTCAGTGTTTGACCATTTTCCCTAATGACTTTACTTGTTTAGTGTCAGCATTTTATAGTGCCCAGAGCTCATTTGAATACATCTCACATGAACACATCAGTGTTTTATTTTGAAAGTGTTTATAATATAATCATAAATTTTCCCCCCTTAGTCATCTTAATGGTTGGTCAGAAAATAGAGAACTACCTGTGTAAATATATGCATTCTTGCATAAGCAAGATTTTTTATGTGCATGCAAAACTCAATTTAATGCACAAATGACTATATATGCATTGTATGCTTCTTTCCCAGCACATGTGTACACTTAATACATATCACATGCAAGAATGTCTATTTTTCAACTAATAATCTGGCCTCTCTTCTCATAGTTATTTTGACACAACTAGGCCCTCCTCAACGTAAGATTAAAATAATTTTTTAAATCTTCTTTTAATATTACAAGTCACTTTTAAATAATCAACAGCCCTTTATCAATACTGAAAGATATTGAAAACCAGAAAACATTCCAAACACAGGCATTAGTTATGCTTTTTCATAGTTATTCCATAGCTATGGAATAGTTCAGTTCGTTAATCTGAGTCAATGAATCTCAATCCTATACCCACAACTGAATTTAGAGAGGAATGCTATCTAGATTTTAATGTAGATTTTATTTCATTAGTGTTCGTCTTCTTCCCTCTTTTCTGTATTTTTCAAAGTGAGTGCCATGTCTTCTAGCTTGACAAATATCCAAAATCACCTTTATTGCATTTGAAATTTACTGCCCTAGATTCCTTTACCATTTCTGAAGTTAAATAATTAATAATTATATTTTTGTGATCTTTCTCTCCAGCCTAGGTATTTATCACACTTCACTTTCCGAGTAATAAATAATTCAGTTTTAAAAGAATAAGTAAACATTTCAGTATGAAATGCTCCAAGATTCCTACACAACAAAATCCAAACATCTGCTAAAATTAATACAGCTGGTACAAAACAACTGATTGATCATAAACATGGTATAAATATATAAGGTATGCCCTTTGTAAGCGTAGAAAAGTTATCAGTAAAAGTTGATAGGACCTGGTCTCTGGGGAAGATATCTTAGAGAGAGCAAATTGAGAACATGAAAAATAACAGAGATGACTGTAACATAGAGTACATGTTATCTGAATTCACCACCATGAAAAAAAGAGTTCAGGAAAAAATCCATGCATACAGAACTACCAGACTTCAGGAATCAAATTTGGTAGAATAAAGGAAGTTGGTAGATACAATACAGAAAGAAGTAGTATGAAAATCCAACATTACAGAAGCAGCCTGAAGAAAAATGAGAAAAAGTATAAACAAAGATGTATAAAATCAACCTAACAATTATTAAGGAGAAGGGAGCTGCCCTAAAAACTACACACAGGAGTACTCTGAAATAATAGGAAATCACTACTAAAACTAAAGAGTTCAACTAACATACCATAAAGAAAGCAGGGGGAAAGGAGCAAAACAATAGGAATTAATGAAATAGGAATGGCTTTATAATATAACAGCAGTGAAATAATTACCAGAAAGAGGCTCCACTGAGAAGGCATTTATACAAGCAATGAATAAAAACACTTGATATATGAAATGCCTCCTGACTTTCAAGGACTGCTGCAGTGGGAGTACACACAAAAATAATAAAGGCCTCATAAAAATACTTATTGTTAAAGGGACTGTGCATCTTGATCATGAAAGGGAAAGAGTCAATAAACAGACTAGATGAGAGGAATCTGGAAATCAGATGCAGCTGTAAAACAAAAATTATTCTGGAACTGTGCATCTTGATTTGGTAACTATTAACAAAACTCTGATGAATACTGAGCAAAGCAACAGAAATTACTGTGAGATGAAAGGCCAAATTCTTGTGAAAACAGGAAAAGAGCTACACACATGCAACTCAGCTAACATGGAGTATGTGTATCTGCAGCTATCCTCTATCCGAGGACTGTGGAATCTGACTGGAAAGCAGTTAGTCACAGTATTAACTAGGCTTCAGATAGATACTAAAGGAGTCAATTTGGGGTTTCCACTTCTTGCAGCAGTACAGAGATTTGTACATCAGCTCAGGCACCAGGTGCAACCTGGCCACACCTCCAGAGCAGAGCTGGGCAACTGGGTAAGGGAGCTGACATGCCCAGCTGGCTGGACCCCTTCCAGGAGTGGGGCTGGCTCAGGCCTTCCTCTGCCCGGAGCTACGCCACTGTAATGTTTCCATTCTCCAACAAACACATTAAGAAAAGCTTCCTCATGTGATAACACTGTATCTTACTATTACTCCTAGAAAGACATTCACAAGGGATAACTTTCACTTATAACTTTCACTTATAGTCGTCAATCCCTTTAGGCTCTTTCTGCATAGCTACAGAGGGAGAGAGATTTCTCTAAGAGTGGACTCAGAGGAGCTACCTCAGGCTCTCCTGCTCTGAATGGACAGCTCTGCTTTCACCACCTACACAAGGAACTTGGGGAAATGCATCTCACTCAACTAAAAGGAAATGCTTTAAATGTGACAGACATTCTTCAAAAACAGAGGGGACTTCTTTACCTCTAAATTTAAGTTAGGATTCAGTGTTGAGCCCAAAGTCTTGGGTTTTTTTGTTTTGCTTTCTGTTTTTTTTTTTTAAACCTTTGTAAACTATCTAAAGAAAAAAACAAGTAAGTGCCTTGACCATATTTACAGGCAAATCAAACATTGTAATTCAGAATGTGCAAAGTCAAAAAATGCAAATCAATCTCAAAGGATATATCATAAAATTGCTCTCTTGCACTCTTTAAGTACAAAAGTAACTCCACACATTCTCAGCTAAAAAGCTGATATTTGGTTAACTTTATTTTCATCCAGAGGAAGACTAGAATAAGTAAAGTATTTTTGCTTGGCTTTCATGGTTTCTGCAGGTGGGGCTGCTACTTACAATTTTTTTCTACTTTAAAATAGAAATACTTGATTATTACCCAGGAAAATGTAAGCACATAGATTTATCTAACCATGATGTACATTTCTTTCCCCTGGAAAGTTGTTTTTTTCAGTTAAAATATTATTGATGACAAATCCTTGCCTCTGTCTTTTACTACAAAATCCAGTGGCCATCAGCAATGCAGAACTGTAGAAGAATTCGCACAGAAAGTACAGACAGTATACACCCCATGAAATAATCTCTTCTGACCATGGTATCTTTAGGAACACAGAAAAATAATTAAAACAGGGCCTGCTTTATGTGACATGAACATCTTCCCATGCATTAAATCTGTTCCTGACACTTACCTTCATAGAAACAATGACAAGACAATCTTTTCAGCGACACAGTTATCTTCCTATTTCAACCCCCCAAATACTGCATGAGGTAATCTCATGTCTCAGAAAAGCCAACAAATAGAACTGTCAAACCAAGTTTTCTCTGAATGTTATGCAAACTGTTACTTACAATCCGAGGTTTGAAGGGTGGCTTGATTTTCCTTTGTTCTAGAAGAACCCAGTCAATTTCCTTGAAAAACGGGTGCTGCTTAATCGCGTCTTCCCCATTTTGTGATGCCACACAGCCAAGTCGCTTATTGGGGTTTTTCGTCATGAACTACAAGGGGGGGGGGAGGGGGGGGGAGAAGAGGAAAAATCATTTGCAGCTCAATTATACATTATAATTCCTAAAGCTGAGTTTTTAGAGACGGTACTCTTTCAGAAGGTTATTTTTTCTGGCCCTCCAAATTTCAGAGACTCCAGCCAAAACAGCACATTCAGAGACTCCAAAGTGTAAATTTCCTGCAGGAAACTTTCAATTGCTTGCTGAGACCCCCTAATTTCATCTGACTGGGTGTGCTAGAGGAACAGATTTTTTCAGCGTTTCTAGTTCCAGCTGTGGTCAAAAATACTAAAGGACAGAAAGAAAAAAATGAAACCCTCCAGAGACAGCTCTAAAGAGATAGTCAGGATAGCTCTTATTTTGCCTTGTTTGCTGCATCTTAACTTAAAAACAGAGTCTTTTAATTTAGGTGATAGGGACTATATATTACGCTTGCTGTTGTTTATTTTCTTTGCATATGTAGGTTGCCTAATCATACACTCCACTCAACCAGACTCATGAAAACCTGTAACTTCCTTACTCACTTCTAGGATTTTATTCTAATACAAGTAAGAACAGCACCTGCAGCTACATGAATTGTAAGCATCCTGTTTGTTTCAGGAAATACATGGAGTGATCAGTACAAGCAGAAAGCTTCCCTTGAGAAGGTCCATGACATAACTTGCACAATTCCTTTCATTTTTAGTACACCATTAGTGCCAGCAACTGGAACTAAGTGGTCTCCTGTGGTGTGGTAATTTCTAAACTTCTCACTTTTAAACTATTACTATTCCTTTCAGCAAAAAGTTGTACGACCAGTGAAAGACACTGATATCAAATGATAGCAGCTCATAATACCTTTCTTGACTTTGCAGTTATTTTTAACTTCCTTTATTAGCAACTGTTCTACTTAATTCCTAATTCATGTGGACACAGAATCCTTGCAATTCCAGTAGCAATGAATGCTGTTCTTACATACACATGCACATTAACATTATAAAATTATCTCAAGTTTTGCTATTACTTCATATTCAGCCATTATACAACATTTGTAAATTAGAAAAAAAAAAAAGCTGTACAAATGAAACAAAATGGATAATTGTTCAGTGCCTTTTTAACCTAGGTATCACATTATACTATACTTTCATAGGAAAAAAACTTATGAAAAAATAAACCTCTGTAAGGCATGCCCTTGCTTTAGTATTCCAGTTATTGGATAAGTGGCTACTGAAGCCCTTAAGAGGATTTTAGATAGCTAGATCAACTATCCACAGAAGAATACCTGTGCTATCATTTTAAAGATATAACATAGATCAGCAAGGCAATTCTGTCTATGGTTTCTGACATACACACTGCTCTGAAGACCATCCTTCTCTTTGGTCTTATGTTCTACTGCTTTGCAAGCTATTTTGCAAGTGGTCAAGTCATATCTAAACTACAGGCCATATTTTCTACAGGCAGGAGAAACAAAGGTTTTGAAAGGATTACTGTGCTTTGGTGAGGTCTCTTGGAAAACCACAAAATGCATTCCTACATTCCTCTGCTTTATTTCATCTCCAGGACTGGAGTGAGCAGGCCAGCAATCAGCAGCCATAAGTATTGCAGAAACAGAACATGGGAACTACAGGATACGCCTTTTGTACCATATAATCTACGTATCAGAAAAGTAAAATATGATCCCAGTATCTACCATGTAATTTTTTAAGAAGCCCAGGACATGAAAATATGACTAGATAGAGCAGTTTAGTGATGTATTTCACAAACTACATGAAACTTCAAAATGGATGACGAGGGAGAACAAATTTTAAGAATGAACGAAAACAAAAACAATTATCATGTGCGATGAAATAATCTCAAACTTCTAAAGTAGACATTTAATTTCATGAATTTAATCCTTTTCTATTTCTGAGGCACAAGCTGATTATCAACAGTATCAATAATGATGCAACTGTCAGGACACACACCGCTGTTAACTGTACTGTGTTGAAGAGATGGTTGCAAATGGACCTGACAGCCACAGCCATAAGTGTTGCCTTTTTATTTTCCCATACTAAGGCAGGAACCTCCTTTTATGAAAAGGGAAGCCTTTTAGAATCCGAGTTCCTACTGACTAAAAATGGTAACAGGACAAAAGGTTGCTGAGATAGCCATGCAACTTGGGGGCAGAATCAAGGATCATTTATTTGGCTCCCAAAATTTTGCTTCTTGAAATAAATAACACATCTTAAAAACAGAGTTCTGCTTCTCTACCCCAGAGATCTCTGTCATCCAGGTACAAAGGGAACACACACTGTAGAGACAATCTCTCTCTACTGCTTATGAAGTAGGCACAGAGCCAATTTCAATGAAGAATTGTTTTCCTTACCACACAGGAAAGAATTTAAATAGCAATTCCTGTCAACCCACAGAAACAGGACTAATGAGATGTGTGGATTTTCGTGGGATAAGCAATGTGCTGCCTTGTAATGCTGATCTGTAAAATCATCCTCAAGTGTTTTGTTGGAAATAACAGGGAAACTGTTTCTTCAGAAAGTAAGAAAACATTGTTACTTAATAGAAGAGAACGTCTTCTTATTAAACTTTCCTTACATGCTGTTTGAAGGAGTGTAAAAATAAGCAGTTTCTAAAGAGTAAAACCCACGTCTCAAAGCACAATGTGAGGAAACGAAGTGTTCCAAAGTTAATCCCTTGCTACCATTCAGCAGTAAAATACACAGACGCCTCTTTCTTTCCTCTCTTTTTCCTGTTCTTCATTTAACAAAATGTGGACAAGGATAAGGTGAAGAACACAAGTTTCAAACAGGTTTCAGACCACAGATGCATAGACAGCAGGTTGCTAAAGGTAAGGAAATCTGTTCTTTTCATGGTGTAAACTGCCACAGCTCCATTAAATTATATCAATTTATGCCCATGAAGACATCTTGCCCAATGAGGAATAATCTATTATTATAGTGCAAATCTATTTAATGGATGCAATCTCTTTTTAAGGATTATAATGACATTAAGGATTAACTTCAGACAGAAAGATGTAAAATAAAAAAATGTTATGACTACAGCAAGATACAAACCATCATGCCTACTACCAAAATGTAGACCCAGGAAATTAGTCTCATAAAAATTTATAGCAAAGTCAGCTCCAAAAGAAATTAGAGGGATTAACATCCTTGTACTTATATTCAGAAAAATATGTAGCTTACACCCACACTCCACTTCTATGTCTGCATTCGTGTGTGGTTAATGAAGGAGTTGTATAACTAACAGTTAGGAGATCTCACTATTTGCACTCCTAATGAGATAACACAGTAGGGCTCTGATTGTTGAATCTATTTCTCTCTTTCCTTTGCACAACAAATACCTTCTCCCAATAGTTACAATGACTCTCCTACTGCACACTTAACCCAGAGAGTTAGTTATCTGTTAAATTTTCTCCTCCAGCAAATGCTTCCATCACTCAGAATAATAGAAAGGTCAATTAAAGTAGATTCACTCAAGAAGCCTGTGGATGGCAAAGGAACAGATCTTACAGACTGTGAAAACAAAATCTGTTCACAGACAGTGAAACAAAAACACTACATAAAACCTCCTAGACTAAAATGAAATTCAGATGTGAAAACTGACAATGACCCTTTCTCTACAATACACCAAAATAACCTCTGTACCCTGGATATCAGTCTGAATTTTGCAGTACAAGTCCATACATTTTAAAGCTGGAGTAAAATAGTCAAAGGGGCTGAAAAAAATGGATGCATGAAAGTATCATGTCAGCTAATAAAGAGTAATCAGAGAGCTATTGGGGGGAGAAGTATTAATAAATCCTCCATTTTTTTCATTTCAGTGAATGCAGCAAAAGAGATACTCCAGCAAACAATCCAGAGAAGTTAACTTTGACTTCTGCTTTGAATCATCTGCTGGAGCATCTTTCACACTCAGCCAGAAGGAGCCTAGAGCTATTTTCATTAAAAGATCACAATGAGCATTTCTGCAGAATGTGTTACCTGCACACTGGCATTAAAATCAGAATTTGTTCAAATTTTATATACAATTTCAAAATGTAACCCTGTATGAAGAGCTCTACAGGACTTTAAACTACCAGATGCCCTCTTAATTGAAAGTTTCCTTTATTCCAAATGCTGAAAGAAAAATATGTGGAAAGGTAGAAATTTCCCAGTTTTAAAGAAGGAGGAAAAATGGAATAAAAACCAAGTCATTTTTAAAGTCAGAAATCCTCGTCAGGTTTTCAAACTATGGGAATTGGCATACTGCTTCTCTATTATTTTGTTTTTAATTTTAGGATGATACTAGCACAGAAGAAAGGATTTATTTCATTGTTACGGTAATTAAATAAACCTGACCTAAGAAAAATAGTCTAAAAACAGAAGTTGCCCAGTGACATGCTTTGATTAAAAAAATTGTGGCATTTGGTGACACACATTTCTGTCAAGTCACTACTCATACTGAAAAACACCAATAAGAGCAGAAACAAGTACCCTAAAGCAAGATTGCTTATCAAAGCGTTCCATGAACTATAAAATAGGACATGCAGCTGTAAATTAAGGGCATTCATTTCAACCCATCTTGATGACAGGGGAAGAAAGGCAGAGGGACAGGAAATTTTATAAGTGAGTTAAATAAAAAACATTGTTTCTTTAAGTACGTAGTTCTTTCCCCCTCCTCTACTGAACATGCAGCATATAAAGTGTCAAAGTGATAGCACAGTTCTAGCTGGTTGGGTTTTCCCTGAAACATGAATCTGCAGTACACAGATTTATACAGTGTACAACTGCGTGGAATACAAACATTCTGTTCCTTTCCCACAAGCGGTGTAATTTATCCCAGGCCCCATTATCCTAACAGTGGCACTCTGAACTGTGCTTGAACTCCCAGCGGTGACTGCTCTCAACAACTTTCGGCAAATTCAATTTTAATCAAGGGAAAAAACCAACAAACCAACACCCAAAAAATCCATGAAAAGGAGGAGGAGGAAAGCAAGTAATGGAAGACTCACTGCTTTTAAAATGCTGACAGCTTCTTTACTGAGCCAGACTGGATACAATACATCATCATGAAGGATGGATTCAAAGAGATCATCTTCATTGTCAGCTTCAAAGGGTGGTTGACCAGCCATCATTTCGTACATGAGGACACCCAGAGCCCACCAGTCCACTGACGGACCGTATTCTAACTCCTGGAGGATCTAGCACAGAAAAAGAGATTGCATTGAATAGACAAGTTAGACAACACTCTTGGCTGCACATTTGCTGTTTCAACATGATACATCCCTTCTTTCCCCCGCTGCCTAAGAAGGACTAAATCCCACACTGATTTCAGTAACAGCAGGCAGGGTCTCCTAGCCATGCAATTTGCCCTAACACAGCTAAGTGTCAAAGCAATGTTGTTCTCAGAAGTACTGACTGAGTTTATCAGTCCCCTGAGTAAAAGACTATGCTCGTGAGCAAAAGAGCTGCATATCCTTCCAAACCGTTTAAAGCAGGTCACGCTATAAGGGGAAAAAGATCACATATACAAAACAGATTGGTGGAAAATGTGAAACATTTCCTTGTCTCTATCTCGAACAAAACAAACTGAGCCAGCTTGTAATGCTGCACGGAGATCATCTGAGGGATTTATTCTTGTCCTTTAGGTAGGGCTGAAGGAAGACAAAAGCATTTTTGTTCAAGTTCTTTCTACAGCATTAAACCACTGTACAATACATGGCTGTAGGACTCACTTTAATTGCACTTGGTCTCAGAAAAACTGGCTACAACTTTTCATGTGGCACAAGTTCAACCTTGTAGCAAATACCTTTACTAGGGAGTAGTAGGTTAGGACAATGGAATTTTACTGTACTACTTTTACTACTATAAGACCAGTGTTGTACAAGGAACAAGTTTTAGTTCTTGGCTCCTTTTCACTCAAAAGAATGTTGCAGTTTGGCTGTAATGGTTCAGCATGACAGGGGACTGGGGAAAGTAGAGTGGGTGCCTGTTTAAGGTAAAGCTGACTGCCTTAAAATGAGTTGGAATGAGCAACAAATCCACCACCTCCTACACAGCACTTAATGTTACAGTCAGAAGCCCTTTGGTGAACCGTGTGAGCTTAGTGCTGTATTTGGGAATCAAGACTAACACAAAACCAAATTCAGTCTTAACATAAAAACAGAAATGAGTTGAACTCTGGATACAGAGGCCTGGATCCCAACTGCATTCTTCATTGAACGGAAATTAAATTTTATAGCCATTAAACACAGAAAATGGTACTCTTCAAAAGTATACTTTTCCAGTGTTCTGGACACTCTTTGGAACTCAAATATTGCTAAAGAACAGGAAATTGAAACATATTACCATGATGCAAGAGAAATAGAAGAAGGACATAAACTTCTGCAATTAACATGACAAATCAGAAGCCTGAGTACTGACTCCAGGGAAACCAGGATTTCATGTAAACATTCTTGGGGTCGTATTACTGCTTTATTTTCAGTAATAATTTTCAAAGAATTTGCCAAAGACTCAGTTAGTATACTGAATCAGAAAAGAATTCATACAAAACCAAAACCATCATGCTGGTATTTATTTCCTTTTAGTGCTGGATTACTTTTCAAACTCTGTAAGACACACATTTATATTATGGTAGTTTCAAGATGATTCACACCTTATCAGTTGTGCTACCAAGGTTTGACAGCTGGGAACACTAACACTATGGGCTTATGACCTATTGTCTCCAACAAATAAGAAATTGCATTTTTTTCTCACTGCAAATTTATGACCGATGAAAGACAAAACGACGACACTTTAAAATGAAATCAGCACACTGAATTTTCAATGGAAAGATGCACAGTTTACTAACTAAACTGAGCAAAGTCTGCCTAGCAGACTAACTGTTCAATGTTGACTCATTTTAAGCATTTTGAAAGGCATAATATTAAAATCTAGGATATGTAAAATTTGAACTATTCTCAGCTATTTCTTTTATGCACTAGACATTGTGAAATGGAGCCAACTGATATGCAGCATCCAAAATTTCTATCTTTCTATGCAAGTGGATACTTTATGTTTCTCCATATAATGAGAAGTACCTCATACACAGTATATTTTACTCACAGATATTTTAAAGAAAGAACAAAAATTATATTCCCACAAAGACTTTAGGCAAAATGACACCAAACATATGATCTCTTCTCTATGAACATGCCCTTCTAAGTCTCATTAAAAAATAAAAACATTTTTATAACTACTAAAGACTGCTGAAGCAGCAATACTCAGTTGCATGTAGCACCTTAAAAGCTGCTAAAAATCATCACAATGATGCTGAGTCAGAAAGGATCAAATAGAGAAGAATACTTTTAATTTCAGAAAAACAAGTAATAAAAAAACCGTGCTTTGTCACTCCCATCATCATGCTATTCTTGTTAACAGTAGAGTAACCAATTTCCGCAAGATTATCTAGGTGAAACTGCAGCAGAGTCTAGTCTGCATCTTCTGTTATTTTCACCTACATGTAAAGAGTGTCTACAATTACAGTCTAAAATGTCTAAAATGAAACAATCTGATGAATGATAATATCTGTACTCTTAGTGCAGTGCAAAAAAATACCTCTGGAGCTATATAGTCAGGCGTGCCACAAAAGGTTGTGGTGGTCACTCCATTCAGAATCCCTTCTTTGCACATCCCAAAGTCAGCCAGTTTACAGTGGCCTTCTGCATCCAGAAGAATATTGTCCAGTTTCAGGTCCCTGAAATATAGAGGCCTCAAATTAAATCAACTCTCAAATTTTGATCATGTGCTCTTGAATTTCATAACAAACTATACATACATAACAAACATACATAACAAACATACATAACAAACATACGATAAATGGTTTCACAAACATCACTGAGAAACTGTCCTTCACATTTGTGCAGGAAAAGTTGCTAGCAGTCAATAAATAGACCTACTTAAAGGCAATAAAATAAAGAAGCAGGCAATTACAAGCATTTTGCAAACCAGGTCTTTACTCTCTTTAGCTGCACGAAAGCACAGGTGTATCCAAGATAGCATCAGAAATGTTTGGAAAATATCTCAGTTTCTTGTCTGCCACAAATCTAACATTCTGCCAACGTGAAATAGGTCAACAATGTCTAGTGAAGCCATTCTCTATTTTTTGCACAAAGCACGGATCACCAATTTATCCGTACTCTATCATATGGGTTGAATTAATAGGTACTTTCAAACTTGGATTATTTTGATTGGATTCTAAATGTATGCTACCAATTAAAAGTTGAGATTGCAATGAGAGGATGAAAAACAACATTCCCATCCTTGGGAGCATTATTTTCTGCAGTTTGAACCTGCTCAAAAATAATCTCACAAGAATATTTTCTGCAGTTTAAACCTGCTCAAAAATAATCTCACAGGAATATTTTGCATTCATTGTTAAACAACACAGCAGCTGTTTCTGATCACTTGTTGTAAAAAATGTCTTTTGTCAAAACCAGACAATTCTTCAGTTATTAAATTGGGTAAGGTCAAAAAAAGGTTGAGAAAAGGATATCCACCTTTCCTGTCTTGCCCTCTGCACATTTTCCAAATATACCATTGATAGTTTTTGAATGTCCCAACACAATGGACGATAAGTACCATCTAACTTACCTGTCATTTGCCCTAAATAAACTACAAAAGCATCTGGAAAGTCAGTGTATAAAAGAACTCTCACTCTCATGAAAAAAAATCCCACAATTAAAAATTATTCATCATGTAGAAATAATAAAGCAAACATAAAGGAAATGCAAAAAAATCCCACTTGTATTGCATAGACCACTTTATTTTTATATTTCTGTCTAGGCTTTTAGGTACCTCTGCTGTGTATTAAAAATACATAGTAACAAAAGAAGGCATTGTATGTATGAATGAATAAAGAGGTGAGAATCAAAAGCAGAACACACGTCTTTGGGAGAGTTTATGGTCACTTTCAGATCAGAACTGTTTTTCCTAGAATAATTACAGCAATTTCTGTAGATGGAATTGATGAAAAAAAGAGTGTGTGTGTAGGCAAGTTCTAAATCAGATAAGAGGAAAAAAATCCCTTTCCAGACTCTGTAAACACATTTCACCCAAAAAGCCTAAGAAAAGATATAAGGGGATTTTTTTTGCAAAAATCCTTTACGGCAAAAAATTTGACTTTAGTGAGGGATGAGAAGTCTTTACCTTACTCTGAGGATTTCTTTCAGAGAAATATCTCTTATCAGACTCCAGACTTTAGAACCACAGGCACCATAATGTGGTGGAAGCATTCACCTACATGAAATGATTAAACAGCACTTCCAAGGATGCATTATGCTATGAGTTTTGTAGACACGTCCTAGGCTACAGTATGTTGGGATTTCCCAAGAAATGTTCTTTTCTCCCTCTCACTCCAATTTCAGTATGTGGATTTTCTTTTTTTTCCGTTTTTTTTTTTCTTTTGACACTTGTTAAATGTTTGTGAACGTGCTGGCCCACGTATTTCTTAAGCAGGTACACAGGCCATCACACAACTCAGATATTTCTGGGACACAGTGGACTTGCTACTCAAAGTCTGCACAGTCATTGCACAGTTGTGCAGTAAATGAGACACTTGGGAGCAGTGGATGACTTACTGTGTGTGTGGAGATAGGTTGTGCTGTGTACATGCTACCAAATGGTTTGTGTGTGTCAAAGAAGTCTGACATGGAACAAAAAAAGGTCTTATTTACCTCAGTAACAGTAAAAACACTGTCTCCTACATAAACTAGCTTTATCAGAATGGTTTATGTAGCTGAAGTATTTAGTGGCTGTAGAAATGTTTGTTGCAACCAGTATGACCTACATCACACTTTCCTAACTCCTGCCCTTGTAGGTCCTTAGCTGGTCACCCATGTAAGGCCCCTTGGAGCAGGCTACGTATTTTATCATTCCTTAAGGTCATCCATTTCAGGAGTTCCTAAACAATCTAAGATCCAGCTGGCTAAAACATAATCCCCAGCACATAACTATTTAACCCCTCAAATAATCACTTTTTCCTTCCTCTGGAAACTGATACGCAAGAATTGTCCAACCTAATGCCACAGCAAACAGCTCCGTGCCCCTCAGAGAAGTGAAATGAACAAAATAAAGCTCCCTGTTCCAAAAATCATGTGCCTTCCCCAAACTTCTCTTTCAGTGAATTACAAGTGTTACAATCAAAAGAGCTGCATTAAGACAGGGACTAAAGCATCCTCAAATAGAATGTGACCAAGTACAAGAGGATAAGGCTCTTGTAGATTGAAGAAGGAAATAAGCTTGTAGCTGCACCTTTTAACCTTCCAAATGCAGAGTTATCTTGGATATTTCTAAACTAAGGAAGAATACAAGCTGTATTTCAAAAAGTCAAGATGTTCAGATAAAGAAATCAAAGTATTATTATATTTGATGGAATCTTGGAGTCACTTTCAGCCACTATCACATCAGACTGCTAGAAAGAAGGTCATAATACCTATAATTATGATAAGAACTGATGAAATCTGAGACATTGCTCAGAAAAAGGGATCCACCTTTATTTGCAGTATTAAGTGTTTATCAAAAGACTCTTAAATGTTATCTTAGCTCTGATCACAGGACTTCCCAGTGCAGGCAGGTGACGCACTGGTGCTGTTAGGGCCTAAGATCATTAAAGTTTCATTTAATGTCACCCATAAGCTAGCCATGGAGTTGACTGGAGATACAGTTGGTAAACCAAGGAACTCCTAAGCTAAGAGAAATCTCAACAGTAATTAAAGCACTACCAGTAAGCCACCACATAATGGATAAGGACAAGATACTTAGCATTCATTGTCTTTATTTCCTTAAGGATTTGTATATGACACAGAAATTAGCAATAAAAATTTAACTTGACAGTGGCAAACCAAAATAAACAAACTAAGCCAAGAGAAAACCAGGAAGAATCTAATTATTAAATTCTGACTACCTGTAAAGACTGACAATGAAATTGTAACCCTATCTGTAAAAGCATAAATCAATTTAACTTTTTTACCATTTACCAAACTATAATCTTACTTGACAGAAGAAAAAAATCTTGTACCCCTTCACCAAGCCAAAACAGTGTAGTGAAGCCTATAAGCCTCTTCCAAACTCTATTGAAAGCACTGAGGACATCAGCTTAATTACTCACGCAATAATGAAATTTAATACTAGTAGATTTCTGTTATCACAAAGTGCACCACAGTTTCAAAAGAAATTTGGAAGAGGCTAAAACAACAGCAGTATGACTCCTATCAACATACATATGGGAGGTTAAAAGGTAATCTGGGAGTCTGCCAAAGTGCCAAACTGATAGCTAGCCCACAAGATTATCATAGTCCGCAAAAGTGCTTGCACTGAAAATCATTCTGCGGATTTAGAGTTGCCAGATTTAAAGAATAAACCAGAAAAAACCTTCCAAAACCAAGAAACTCCACCAAATTCCCCTAATTATGCAACTTGAGAAAAAGAAATCTTACTTAACTACATAAATACAAGAGAGTAGGAATGGACAATGTGCTTTGTATACCTCAGAGGGAAAAAAAAACCCAAGCAAAACAGACAGAGATGAGGAAACTAATGAAGTAACAGAAGAAGAGTTGTCAGGGAAGCTTGTCTTTCCAGAGCAACAGTTTCACTGAAAAAACTCCAAACTCGAACTTTTAGTTAAAGATCCATATTTCCCCAGAACTGTTCTAAGAAACAGTCAGCTCTCCCCACTTCTCAAAAAGTACACAGCCATCAATCTCTGGAATGTAAAGTAATTGTCTGTACAGAACGTTCCATTCTGATCCATTCTGTCTTTTATTTGTTTCCTGTTTTTAGTGCTGGTTGTCTATCCCTGAATCGGAGTGTACCAAATAATAGTGTCAGATAGCCTAGTGACAAAGGTCTATTAAATTCTTCTTTTTCCTCATTTTGCATTCTCTTTGTCGGAACTAAGAAAGTCATCTCTGTCTGACAAAATGAGTTCCTACAACCTGAGTAATTACTTGTATGCAACTGCAAACAACCTAACCAGTTAAGCCAGGAAAATGCCCAGATTGCTTGAATACAGCAGTGATACATTAAGCTGTTTCTCTCCTTTGTTTTTTTGCCAAGATACTTTGTAGAGTCAGTTCAGTTGAGCAGTCATTGTGTGAAATGTTGTGGGGGTTTTTTAAATTTTTTTTTTTTTTTTTTTCCTCATTCTCAGAAATCTTTAAACAGAAGTTTAAGCCTTGGTTTCTATTTCTGGATACCTGCCAGCATCACAATCACCTCAGAAGCTGGAATGATTGGCAGGATCTCAACAAAGAATCTGGATTACTACAGCTAGGTTTGTGCAAGTTGGAACAGAAGAGCAAGTTGACTACAAGTACCATGTGAGAAAACTTCCGTAACGTTCATTCCTTCTTCCACACATGAGCGCCATGAGACACTGACTGCTCTGGCTGCCTGCAAAGGCTCAGTGGAAAAGTATTTCACAGGACTGGGTTCTGAAAGTCTGAACCCCAACAGTGGCCAGTGAGATAAACACCTTGTGTGCACGGCCCTATGTATCACACGCGTCATTTACGTAACACAAAATTTTCTTGTTGAAAGTAAGGCAATTAAACATTCAAGATGGGGTTTGACCAGCAAAATCAGAAAGTATGCCAAACATTTACAACAGTAGTCTTTGTGCAGGGTAAACATCAGTGACTAAACAAATACATATTTGAAGAACAAGATCAAGTAGCTGAGAAACTTGATCAC